CGAGCTTTAGATTCAGGAGGAACCCTGTGGATTATGTCATGGTCGTGGAACAATGGACCAGCTCTTTTTCCTCTCACATATATTTGAGGGGTCATGGAACTATGCTTCTCCAGTTTTCTTCTGCTTTGTAAGCTTGCATAAAGCACCTGACCATGTTCCCCGCAATGTCTTGTGGGAGGTGCTGGGGAAGTATGATGTACCAGTGCTGCTTTTGTGCATTATCTGGTTCCTTTATTCCCGGAGTGAGAGTTGGGTTTGTATTCTTGATGTTAAATCAAAGTCGTTAACTGTGGGTGTTGGACTCTGCCAAGCGTGCGTCTTGTCTCCACTCCTGTTTGTGATTTTGATGGACAGGATATCATGGTGCAGCAGAGGTATGGAAAGTATCCAGTACAGACACATGGACGTGGCGTTGCTGCTTTTTGTAGATGATGTTGTCCTCTTTGCCTCGTCAGTCTGTGATTTCTAGTGTGCACTTGAACGAGTTGATGCCGAGTGTGACGTGGTTGGGATAAGGATCAGCACCTCCAAATCTGAGGTCATGGTTTACTCCCGGAAGATAGTGGATTGTTCTCTCCATGTGATGGGGGAACAGCTGCCCTTAGTGGAAGAGTTTAAGTACCTCGGGGTCTCTTTCGCGAGTGATGGTAAGTGGGAGAGAGAGATCGGCCGGCAGATTGGTGCAGCATCTGCAGTGTTGCGGGCACCTTACCATTCTGTGGTAGTGAAGCAGAAGCTGAGTTCTCGAACAAAGCTCACGGTTTACAGGCCAATCTACATTCCCACCCTCACCTATGATCATAAGCTTTGGCTAATGACAGAAATGATGAGATCACAGTTATAAGGGGCCAAAATAAGGTTTTTCAGCAGAGTTGCCAGGCTCCCTCTCCATGATCGGGTGAAGAGCTCGGTAATCCGGGAGAGCCTCAGAGTCGAGTCGCTGCTCCTCTGGATCGAGATGAGGCAGTTGAGGTGATTCATGCACCTGGAAAGGATGCCTCCCAATAGATTCCCCCTAGAACTCTACCAGGCACGTCCCACTGGGCGAAGCCCCAGTGGCCAGCCCAAGACATGCTGTCAGGACTATGTCACTAGGCTGACCTGGGAACGCCTGAGAATTCTCCAGGAACAGTTAGAGTCTATTGCCACGGAAAGGGAGGTCTGGACTACCCTACTCAACATGGTGCCGCCGCAACCCTCGCCAGAACAAGAAGATTGAGAAATGAACATCTTTACGTGCATATGCCTAAATATGTGTGCTTGTTTGTGTACAGGTACGAACGGTTCAGATGTCAGTAGCAAGTCACGGCCAGAAGTTCACATCATGTAGCCGGGTTAAGTTCAGTTTGTTTGGGTTTAAACAACCAAACGCATTTGTCTATGTAGCAGCTCATTCGTTTTAGTGCCATTAATCTAATGACATAGACTAATAGTGAGAGCTAGCGTGAGCGTAAATCGTTTGCTACATTGAACCAGTGTGCAGAGCTTGGTCGAAGAGCGAAATGTAATAAAATCCGAAGTGTGATTGGTTGTGGTCTGGTTTTGAGAAACCAAACGAGATTTTCCATATTTCATCCCATTCCTTGTCACGCACGAGTCTGCAAGTTGTTTAATGTCAAAGATTCTAGATTTGAAGCTTTCGTGACTGCAAGGATTCATACTCTTTGTTTTTTTTGGTAAAGTCACGTAGGTAAAATAATTAATAAAATAAATGAAAATAACTAAATTAAATCACGACGTTTCGGAGGCAACACAAGCCTCCCTCATCAGGTGTAAAAAGGCACAGCCATAATTTAGTTGTTTTCATTTATTTTATTTTATTAATTGCTTTACCTACGTGACTTTACCGAAAAAACCAAAGAGTATAATGTCAAAGATGTTTGTCCTATACTATGTGGCAGGGTATATCAAGTGTTGCAAAGGTACAAAGTACACAGCTGGCTCAGGGATGGGAAGGGTAATAAAGCAATATGGTCGGTGCAAGGCCGAGATGAGGCTGTAAGTGGAGATCTAGGTCTACAAGCTGATGGATTGATGCGTTCAACCTCTTTAACTGCGGATGACTCAATATGTGTGCTTGTTTGTGTACAGGAAAGACTGGTTCAGATATCAGTAGCAAGTCATGACCAGCAGTTCACATCAGGTAGCTGGGTGAAGTTCAGTTTGTTTGGACTTAAAGAACCAAATATATTTTTCCATGTAGCAGCCCATTAGTTATCGTATGCGAGTATGATAATTATTGAATGCAATGGGCCATTATTCTGTGCGGGGTGTCAGAGTTACTCATTTGTCAGATGTTACAAAGTACAGAGGTTGGCCTATGAGTTCAGATAAGGAAGGGACATATAATCAGTTTAATTACCGGGGTGTAGGGGCGATAACGTTGTGACTTTGCTGCGGTATAATTTGTCACGTGTTGATTGAAAAATCTCAGGATATGAGCAATTGTCATGATATCAACTTCCCCTAACTTTGCACATTTGGTGTGCTGCATTTTGCGTAAACATCGTCTTGTTTTTTGTGTTTTGATGAACTTCAGGTTCTCTTAAATATTATTTTGGAGTTTTTAAACTGCTCTTAATTCAAAATGAACCTGCCTTATGTCGTCTGGCCATTGTATATTGACAATCCCCAATGCTTGTAAAGCACATGCTGTTAGACAATGATGATGTTGCATAACCAGCACGTCGTCAATATAGGATAGCGATTATTGAACTGGTATTGAGTCCTCTCCTTCCCCTGCACCTCTGATTTGCACGTTTGGCTATTTATGGTGTGAAAGATGTTCAACAAACATACATATATTCACCAACCTGGCCAGCGTGGTGAAGTATGGTCACACAACCACCACGAGAAAAGTGAGTGATGAAGTCCATCATCCAGTAGTGAATTGACACCGAGTTGTGAATTATTATTATTTGTTCCATCAGCAGTCACTGCACACGTGATTTGCAGGAGTCACAGCGTCCTTCTCCCCCTCCGTGTCCTCGCTGTACTGTTGATTAGAAACGAGAAGCACTTGGCACTTCTGCCCTCGCCCAGACTCACTAACCTTGCTGAAGAAAATATGGAAATGTTTCCAACGTATGAATGTAGTGGCGGTATACTGGTGGTGCACCGTATAAAACAATGAGGTACAAAACAAGATTTTAAATGCACACTTTCATTAGCACTCTAAAGTACAAATTAAAATATTTTGACACCAGAATTAATCACATTTGGTGTGCTGAATAAAAGTGGGTGGCGTCCTTTCGATATGTTTAATTTTCTTCATGATAGCCACCCCCTAGGAGGTCATGGAAGGAAGGGACATATAATCCGTTGAATGACTGTGGTGTAGGGGCGATAACGTTGTGAATTTGATGCATTATATATATTTTTTCGACTTTTTATTTTGTTTATCATAATATGAGGAATTATCACGGGGAGAACATCCAAACTCCAAATAAACAGGCGGCAGGATGGGGATTGAATCCATGAACTCCTGTATACCAGGCAACGGAGTTAATATCCGGGGTACATCTCGTGGTGTTTCTAATTTAACTGCAGGTGAAGTCAGTTCGTTTCCTTTTTCATCGTCATTGCTCTGTGATTTCTTTACATCTCGCCGCTTTGGCTGGAGATGTTAACTACCTCGCCTAGTATACAGGAGGTCGTGGGTTCGACCCCGAACCTGGTGCCTGTTGTATATTTGGAGTTTGCATAATTCTCTCGCCGTTATCACGTAGATTTTTCTCCGGGTCATACGGGGTCTCCCTCCACATTTGGACTCAACATCACGCCTTTAGAGTGTTTTGCTGCTATAAATTTCCACGGGACAAGCAACTTCGTTGAGCTTTCAATTGTGGCCAGGTCGCTTTTGAGAAAATAGCTATGTAGCTGAGTGGGCCTTACCTTGTAAAATAAAAATGTTTTTGAGAATTACTCAAACTCAGCGAATCCAGGAAGTCAAATATTAACATTGACACAAATAGATGATGCAGGTTTATTTGTTTAGGTGATGAAAATTTTAAATCTCGAAAAGATGTTTTAAACGCATGATAGGAAAACATACAGTGACAGTCATTAAGATAATGAGCTTAAATGAGCGAGAATGTTTGTTTAGCCAGGGGTGGTTCGTTTCGGTAATGCGTGAGGCCACCCACCTAGGGACCCGACCATTCAACCAAACGCACTTCCACCCACCCATTCACCCTCCCACCTCATCTCCCACACTCAATCACCACCACCCATTCATTCAGACCTCCGATTAGCACGAGTGGCTAAGTACGGTAGCGAAATAGGTTTAACATGCATTCATACCCACCCACTCACCCAGACACCCACCCACCCACCCACTCACTCACTCACCCACTCACTCACACACCCACACACGTCTGATCAGCACGGTTGGCTACGTACGTTGTGAAAAAAGTTCAACATACAACCACCATTCACCCAGAATAAAACGGTGTCCTTGAAATACATGAACACAAAAATATATGACAGACGAACAGTAAAAATATTAGGTGATAAATGTTGAAGATTATAGACTTAGAAGTTAAAAAATGGCTTGAAAGAAAAAATATATAATGACACAGATGGAAAAAAACTATTTCACATTTAAATCTGAATGTTTGTACTCTGGCAATGCACACATCCTGACCCTAGCCAGTCAATCAGCCTGTGGGACAAACCATTATCGCTGTGTCCCTAGCTGCTGCTGCTACTGCTGGGTTTTGTTTGTACAAATATTACGTCACTTGAGACCGGTCAAAGCTATGTATGTTTGTTGAACTTCTTCCACACCGTACGTAGCCAACAATGCTAATCGGAAGTGCAGGAGAAGGACAACAACTAAACACAAAAATCAGTTTTCGCTATTACACAGTACGTGACTGTAACGCCACGTCTACACAGGTGAGCCCAGCCGCCGTGTGGAACATTCCAGGGCGTGTCTCGAGATATTTATAACGTAACTGAAGGTGATGTCAAGTTAATTTCCTTGTTCGTCTCCGCGGGTTGAGCTGCTCACACGGCGTCTCCTGAACAGAACACACCTCGTCAATGGTAATAAACATCTCACGATATTATTAAGATAAATAATTTTGTTGAAATATATTCTCTGAGCCACAGTGAGAAACTACTTTGGGTGCATCCTCGGGTCATGGCGAGCGCAGCTCCCGCTGAGAACGTGGACCGCGAGTTGACCTGCTCCATCTGCCTGGACACGTTTGACTGCCCCTCCACGCTGACCTGCGGCCACTCGTTCTGCCTCCAGTGCCTGGAGCACGCCTGGAAGGAGACAGACTCCTACTGCTGCCCGCAGTGCCGCAAGACCTTCCCTCGACGACCCCAGTTGACCAGGAACGTGACGATCGCCAACCTCATAGAGCAGCTGCGAGTGACTGAGACCATAGCTGCTGCTGCTGATGGTTTTGTTTTCTGTGACAACTGCCAAAAAGGCAAGACGCTTGCAGTGAAGACCTGCCTCAGGTGTGAGACGTCCTTCTGCAGGGAACACCTCGTGCCTCACCTGGAAAATACAAAGTTTAAAGATCACGTCCTGGTTTCATCAGATGTGAACCCTGAAGAACGCAAGTGCAAGAGGCACAACGAGGAGCTCAAGTTCTACTGCAAGCAAGACCTCAGCCTGGTGTGCAGGGACTGCACCATTGCAGGAGACCACACGGGTCATAAGTTCATCACACTGGAGGATGAGCATCAGACACGGAAGGTGAGACCCGCGTGGGATGAGTTGGAGTCACTCAGGAGCGAACAATACCATGACCTGAACTCATAAGAGTTCTACTACAACAACATCTCATTACATCAAAACCATCAGGGTGGGATGATTCTCTTTTCACGCTCTTTTTTCTTTCAAGCTGAATTCTTTGGACTCTTTTCTGGTGAGCAGTTATATAACGATCACTGTGGAGGCCTCCGTGTGGAGTGGGGCTGAGAGGGAGCCGCATAGGAAGTTGAGTCTCCTCTGGTGGCTTCGTCTCTTCCAGAGAGGAGTCGGAGAGGAGACGCGAGTGGTGGAGGAGAAGAGGAAGAAGGTGGAGGCGTCCGTGGGACGGATAAAAGTCGCTCGCAAGGACGTGCAGGTACCACGCGTGGGCTCTGTTACCCTGTGACCTCCACCCTGCGTGGAGTCTGTGACTCTCTTCCTGTGAGGACAACTCCGTAGATTCAAGTTAACTTTGTTAGTCTTGAGTCATTGTGTAATAACTGCAGGATATTGCTTTATTATGGCTATGGGGACTTGAAATATAAGTGATAAAAAAATGCAACGTTTAAAAAAAGAATCATGAAAAAAATCATAGATTGCAAAGCACTTCGCAGGTAAACTCGAATAACTTGCAATGGATGAGATCAAATAACGCAGTATGGAGCAATGACTGCATTGAATTAAACGCTAGAAATAAAACGAGTGAAAATGAAGATGAAATGACAGTAAATTGGCTGTTAAATGCTAGCATAAACACAAGAGACACGACTTCAAGAGAGTACTGGGAATGCTGGAAAAATTATGTTCTCACGACACGCACCCAACTCTCAAGCAGACATAACATAGAATCTGACTATTTCAAACATTTTAAATTGAATTGGCACGAATCGTGATGTATTCGGGGCCGTCTATAAATGACGTCACGCGGTTTTGGACGATTTTTGACCCCCCCCCCCCCTAGTCACACAGCGTCACAAAAAGTCAGACCCCCCCTCAAATATGACGTCACAAAGATCTCCCCCCCGCCAAAATTTTTTTTTACATGTTTCAAATCGCTTTAAACTATTGTCATTGTAGTGTATTTAATGTGGCGCTGCACTCTGGTGTTGTAGGAGAAAACATTTATTAAAAAGTATATTTAATAAAGTAGAACGTGTTTATTTAAAGTTGCGCATTTTGATGTGACGTCACATTTCTCAACAACCCCCCCCTCGTCACACATCGTCACAAATATCTGACCCCCCCCCCAAGTGCGTGACATGATTAACTCTTAGTGCCGTACATTTTATTGGTAAGGATAATTACGTAATTGTCTCTAATTTTGATATGTCTCTAACGATTTTGCGATGAGCCTGTTTGTGTTTTCGCATGCAAAAGTATCCATTGTAATGCAGGGCATCAGGTCAGCTGGTGATATTCTTAATTTACAAAAAAACGTAGAGAATATAAGTAACAAAAACATATAAGCAGATAAAACATCTTCATCATGTATCTGCCTTTGTATAAAAATCATAAGAAAAATTTATACATCCCATCAGCCCCACGACGTGGGAGTGCATCTTTCCAAAGTATTGAATGGGTAAAAGCAAACTCTAGATCGATTTCCACACCCAGTGTCTCTGTATCAGAGTCAGGATTGCTTAAGGTAAGGCTGATGTACTGCCCTGTGATTATAGGCATGGATCCTTTCGTATTGATTTGAAGATTTCGTGACTGCAGGAATCCATACTCTTTGGTTCTATCGGTAAAGTCACGTAGGTAGAAAACTAAATCACGACGTTTCGATCGCAACACAAGCGGTCGTCCTCAGGCGAAAAAATCCAGTAGCAGAACTGATGAACCAGGAAGAAAATAGCGATAGAGCTGTTACAACAAGGGTTTTTATGTTTGAGTTGATGGGGAGAGAGATTAGGGAGAGAGATTAGCATGTCAAAGTTAATGAGCTTCCGTCACCGCATATGACCGTACATGCGCACAGTAGCAGTGTTAATGGGGTGTTAATGGGAGATTAGGGACTAGGGAGATTAGCAAGTTAATGGCATGTCTATGTGTAACACAAGCTGCGGCGCTGGCCGCTGTGCTGTGAGAGGAAGGCGCATAAAGGGCCATGGTGGCTGTGCCAGTGAGACATACAGCCCATAAAACAGCAAGAGCCATTGATACATCGAGGCTAAGGGAGAAAAGGCGTCCATGTTAGTGATACCCCAACCTACGTGACTTTACCGAAATAACCAAAGAGTATGGATACCTGCAGTCACGAAAGCTTCAAATCAAGATTGAAACCCCAGCCCGTTAATTCCAAGGCATCCCAAAGGGCAATGCAACTCAGAGAGTCTGAGGGTTTGGCTGTTACCCCTTTATGCATCAAATAATTTTTTGTCTGACTAAGATCTATATCATAGAGGGTCCTTGTCTATAACACCTAGCAGTTCACCTGCGTTAATTCAAGCGAGCCTGACTGCTGATGAGACACTGCATGCCAAAACCAGTCCAGAGTTTGCTTGCACTGAATGAATACAGTTATGCTATAATTATACAATCCCAAAAGGCCACCGGGCCAATAGATTGTGTACAAAATACTTGTATTATTGACGTGGAGAGACATATCTATGAGGAAGGCAATGTGTGTGCTTATCTATTTTGTAATTTATTTACAGATCCTCACCAATACACTTCTGGACGAAGGTTTCCCCACATCGTGTTGATCATTGAGGCTAGTTGGCCATACTTAGTTGTGCGGGTCAGTGCGGGTTGCTGAAGGTAAAATCCAGAACTGGTTCACATCACACTCATCACGCAGCTCTATAAAAAATTTGGAGGGTGGGGAGGAAGCCCAGCCGAGGCTGAGAGGCAAGGACATTCCAGTAACGTGAGTAGGAGCAGCCTGGAAGGACGTGTCACCAAACCTAGTTATAATAATAGATTTTATTTTTAAGAATAGAGATATACTTTTGAAACTGTGACTAGGAATTTGCGGAGTTAGGAGGCGCTTACATATGTAACGACTCCAATGATCTTGTGATTATCTTTATTGAAGACACGTTCACTTGACAGGCGAAGACCCCGACTCCAACAGCAGCCTCGAGCCTCTCCTCTCGACCCCTTTTATGCCCAGCGTGGCCATCCCTTGACCCTTGGCCACGACCCTTCTCTAGAACCTTCTGAATGGCTCTCGGCCCCTGATCCGCACCTGCTCCCTTCTATCACTTGACCACAGCCCCTATTCTCGATCTTTGTCGTAGACCCAGATCCTTCCCCTGTCCGTCACATAACCTGTCATTATCCCCTGTGGCACCTAGTCTCTTCCCATGCTAATTCCCCTGTCATTACCCCTTGTGACCGCTAGTCCCCTGTACTGTCTTTACACGTATTTGTCAGTTTTGTTCAAAAGAACGTTAAGGATGAAGGTATCCAGGGGGACAAATTAGAGGTGATACAGAGGATGTAATCATGCATTGATATGGAGGCATCAAGGTCAAAGTGGGCGGCCAGGTGGTATAATGGAACAAGAGGCTAGGCGGTCGATGATTACACAGGCGTCAAAGATGGGAGGATGATGGCTTGGACTATATAATTACTGGCCAGATTATCAATGTGAAGGACGAGACAACACCTAGATACTTAAAATTATTGACCTGTTAAGTGGGAGCTCAACGACAGTGTCGAGGCAGGGAAATCTAGGATTGAAATATCCAGAAAACAATGTGACTTTGGTCTTCACAGCATGGTATATGAATTGATAGAATCTATCGCATGCCCCTTTGCAGGATTCCATGGTCCAGACCAAGGCTCGCATCTCAGGCGAGTTCACCCGTATGAGGGCGACGCTGGATGAAGATGAGAGGGCAGCTCTGGATCGCGTGGACGTGAAGGGGCATGAGCTGCTGTCCCAGATCAAGGAGAACATCGCTCATTACGAGCGCGAGATTAGTGACCTCCAGGCAGCAGCCACGCGCCTGCGCGCTCTGCAGGAGGAGAGGGACTCGCTCACGTTCCTGCAGGTAAAGTGCTCACGGAGCCAGGGCAGGTGCTCCAGTTCGCGAATATTCGTTGCGTTTTTTCAAACATGGCACATGCGATGCAACTCAACGCAAGGATAAAGCATCTTGAATTGCCAATACAATGGAGAGCCCATGCATTCTGAAATGAAATGCGGAATCAAGTCCACTGACGTGGATTTGTGTATATTCTGATAAAAATATAAATTACTGTTGAAATTCCAATTCATAAATAAACGATTAACACGCAAATCCCTCGAGTTAATCGGTTGGTAATGTATGCAGATGTTGGCATTTAAAATTGTAACCGCATGGTCCTGTAACGTACAACAGATTGAGACTTATTCACACTACATTTTAATTATTAATGTAACCAAATGTAGACCAACCATCAGTTATGCTGAAAATAGAAGTGCTTTTAACTTCAAGAAATCCAGGGGGCTTTGTTTTTCAGCACTGAGTGCTGATGAGTCCAATGCGGAGATTGCCTGCTTCAAAAAATGTTCATCCTGTTAAACTATCGACTCTGTTAATGCGATTCTCTTGGTGTAATTCACCCTCACAGTGCGTACTTATTTTGAATGTTGGTTCACAATCACTGCGAATCGACATCGAGTGCTACGGATGCCTCTTCCTGTGACATTGGGTACCGAGTGGCAACGGTTTGAGAGGCCACACCTTGCTGATGAGAACCATCGAGTCCGAACGACTCCACGGCTTTCTTGTTTACAACCAACAACACTGGAATAGGCGAATGGCTGAGCGCAGCCCAGCTCATCGCGTCTACCAATCACCGTGTGGTTAACATGGCTGGAGGTGAACTGACTCGAGCCCCCTTTGTCTGACTCCTGCAGGTTCACCTAAAGGAGACAAACCGGTATGGACTGATGCAGTCACACAGATTAACACACGGGGTGACGCTGTGTGTGGGACATGGGCTGCGTGATGATGATAATGTGTGTAATTATGATGATGTGTGGTATGATCCTGTGAGTGATGGTGTATGTTGATGCTGTGTGATGTTGTGCATGATGATGATGTGTGGTATAATGCTGTGTGAAATGATACTGTATTATGGGACCTTTTTGCCTGTATCATAGTGTAGTGACCGACTCAGAGACACTAAGCGTAGGAGGCACTCTATTTATTAAACGGCCTTAACAGTTCACATATGGTAACTATGATTCGCAGTCAGGACAGCTGGTAGACTGCCTGACTGGCGACGCTGAGATGGCGAAGGCGGAGACGAAGACTCTAGCAGCAGCAGCACGACGGGATCCCACTCCACACGACAGCCCCGAGGTCCCCTCCCGGGTCCCTTCTTATACTGTCAGTGTGGCCTGGCTCTGTCCCGGCCACGCCCCTCTTCTGGAACCTACTAGCAGGTTCTCGATGTGCCCCTTTTGTGACCCTTCCCCTACATCTGTCTCTGATCTATCACGTGACCTGCTGTCAGTCAGGGCTGCTGTAAGCTGCAGATCCCCTTCCCTGCCAGCAGCCAGAGCTATGCCATGTGACCGATTCTATTTCACTACAATAGTATAAAAAATAAGAATAGGGTTTACTCTTTCTGGCAATAAAACAGTTGTTAAGATATTCAAACAGCAATAGATACCTTTGGCAAGGACTCAAGCCTGCATTAAACCACACGTACTTGTGATGAACCTGCAAACAAACATTAATTCTAGATTTGAAGCTTTCGTGACTGCAAGGATTCATACTCTTAGTTCTTTCGGTAAAGTCACGTAAGTAAAAAAATGAAATTAATTTTAATTTCATTTTTTGACCCACGTGACTTTAATTTTAATTTCATTTTTTTACCTACGTGACTTTACCGAAAGAACTAAGAGTATGCAAACAAACATGTTCACTGTTCGCCTTTGGCGTTCTCTGGTCTGACACTGGTGAGACTAGGCCATAAAGAAGGCTGTCTCTGTTCTAGGCCTATCAGATTCAAAGGCATTGCATCATATATAATTATCAGAGAATATTTGTTTGCATGATCACCACAAGTACGTATGGTTAATGCAGATTTGATTCTTTACAAAATATATCTATTTGGTCTTTGAACATCAGAGCACCTAGTTTATTGCCAGAAAGGGCAAAACCTATTCTTATTTTTCATAAGATGATGCTGGGTATGACAGGGCTGTGTGATGCTGCTGTGAGTGATGATGCGGTGTGATGCTGTGTGTGATGATGCTGTGTGATGATGCTGTGTGATTCTGTGTGATGCTGCTGTGAGCTGATGCTGTGTGTGTTGGTGTTGTGTAAGACACGGGCTGTGTGAGTCACTGCTGGTTCTGGTCTCACAGGAGAGACACTCAGAAGGGATCTCCACCGTCATCTCCCAGTGAAAAAGACATTGCCTCGATCAGAGTCCTGCAGGGAGCTGTGATCAACCTGCTGGCATTCATGTGTGAGTTCCACGGACTCTTGCCACGTGTGCGTCTGTTATTGTGCATGTACTTTGGCTTGTACATGTATGTTGCAGAGCGGTAGTGTCATGGTTAGTGGGCTGCGCTACGAACCTGGTGTCCCGAGTGTGAATCCCGCTCACTACACTATCACACACACACACGGGTGTACATCACTACACTATCACCCACACGATTGTACATCACGACACTATCACACACACACACACGAGTGTACATCACTACACTATCACACACACACACGAGTGTACATCACTACACTATCACACACATACACGAGTGTACATCACTACACTATCACACACACGAGTGGACATCACTACACTTTCACACACACACCCACGAGTGTTCATCACTACACTATCACAAACACACACACGAGTGTACATCATTACACAATCACACACACACGAGTGTACATCACTACACTATCACACACACACACGAGGGTACATCACTACACTATCACACACACACGAGTGTATATCACTACACTATCACCCACACACGAGTGTACATCACTACACTATCACACACACACGAGTGTACATCACTACACTATCACACACACGAGTGTACATCACTACACTATCACACACACACGTGTGTACATCACTACACTCACACACACACACGAGTGTACATCACTACACTATCACACACACGAGTGTACATCACTACACTATCACACACACACACACACACGAGTCTACATCACTACACTATCACACACACACGAGTGCACAACACTACATCATCGTACACACGAGTGTACATCACTACATCATCACACACACAGAGTGTACATCACTACACTATCACAATCACACACGAGTGTACATCACTACACTATCACACACACACGAGTGTACATCACTACACTCACACACACACACACACGAGTGTACGTCACTACACTATCACACACACACACACGAGTGTACATCACTACACTATCACACACACACACGAGTGTACATCACTACACTATCACACACACACACAAGTGTACATCACTACACTATAACACCCACCTCGTGTGCAGTGCCGGCCTTCACAGGTTGCTCGCCAACACCACTTGCCCCTACAGCCTGTGAAAGGTGACACACGGAGATGTTTGTGTTTGTTGTACACACACAGAGACGCTACGGCGGTGTTGATATCCACGCTGCTGCTGCTGCTGCGATGCACTGCCTCCAACGGGCACTGCCACACAGTAGTGCTGAACGAATAATCGATTTCAAATCGAAGTCGCAATTTGAGACAATGCGATTAGCAAATCGCAAAGGCTGCGATTTTTTTGCGATTTGAAAAGTCCTATTACTTTCTTATTGGAATTGTTTGTCTATTTTTATTATAACTTTATTTATTTAACTTGACAATAGTTCTATATTTAATTGTTCTTTTTCAATAATTATTTTTTAATAAATACATGTTGGAAGCAATTAATATATTTTAAGTTCTCATCCTTGCATTAGAATATATAGAGCAATTTAAAGCTTTCATGACTGCAGGGATTCATCTTCTTGATTCTTTCGGTAAAGTCACGTAGTGGCTGAAACGTCGTCTCATTATTTTATTATGTTTAATTATTATTATTTTATTATTTCCATTCTACGTGACTTTACCGAAAGAACCAAGAACTTATATAGAGCAGTTCAAATTTTGATGATATCATGCTCCATCACATGTTTTAAATTTATTACACAGTGACTATTGAACTGAAGCTCGACTTAAAAAAAAATAATCGCAAATCAAACCGCAATATCTGTCAGAAAAATCGCAATTAGAGATTCTCCCCAAATCTTGCAGCCCCAGTGCACAGAGAGCCCCACCTCCTGGCACCTCGCAAAGCCCCGCAGTGGCTGGGCCTGGGCAGGGCAGCCACCACCCTGCCTAGCAGGTGCTACAGGCTGCGGGGCCACGTGGCGGGGCAGCCACCACCCTGCCTAGCAGGTGCTACAGGCTGCGGGGCTACGTGGCTTGGCAGCAGATGGCGGGGCAGACAAACGCACTGCTGTACTGTACTTCTGTGCTCTCGCCAGCCGCGCCGCCTGCCTTCGCCAACGCGCAGTGACCGGCGTGGTGAAGTATGGTCAAATATCCCCCGCGACCCGCACGGTGTAGGGAGGCCCTCATTCAGCAGTGGATTAACAAAGTGCCTGTTACATGTCATCACACCGATAGCTCCGCATTACAACATTGTATAACAATGCTCATTATGAATTGTGTGATGCCGCCGCCACGAAGCCGCTCGGCGGGCGCCCCATCTACGACCTCGCCACCACCAAGCGACGGAGCCAGCCCCGCTTCCCCCTCACCTCACCTCACGTGAACACACCCGCACGCATTTCCCCCCCCCCCCCCCATAGAGCTCCGAGGGGAGGTCACCTGGCTGACCGGTTTTCACCCGAGAAGCCCTTACCGGGATAATCTTCACGGTTTCCTGCGGCCAGGGAATTGGACGACCTCCCCCGATGCTGATTCGCACCGCGGCACTGTGACCGGCATTAAGATTGCATGGTCGCGGCGAGGGGCCACTCGGCCACCGCGGTTGAAACGCACCTCACGCACGCACGTATCGACGGGGCAGGCAGAGGGGCATAAGTATAAAACTAATTTGAATACGCGCCGCGCATAAGCATTGTTATGGAGGAGCATAATTAGAATAAGTGCCGCGCATAAGCATTGTTATGGAGGAGCATAATTAGACTAAGCGCCGCAACACGCAGCGGTATCTTATTAGCATAGCAAAGGCGCCCCGGAACCGCCGCACGGGCCCTGACTGGCGCCCGCCCATTGTTAAAGAAAAACTGGGAGTGCATAACAACAGGCGGGGCGGCATCTCTTGATGTAGGGACGATAAAAGGGGGGCGCAAACGGGTAGATCTCTCTCTTGCTCCGGGGTCAGGCCACAAGGCGCTCTCCAGCCCAGCGACTCGGACGTCCGTGTGACGCATCGAGGCACGCAGTGAGGACAGGATCAGCGGAACGCCGTGGGCACCTAATCGTGAGTAAGTGGAAAGGGGGTATAGGGAAAGAGACTAGAGAATCCAGAGCCACCTAGAACATATCCCTCCGATAGATCAAGTACAGACCCTGGGACGATAACGTACGCCTGCCACGCCGATCAATACTGACCCAACAGTAAAACGTAGTCGCCGAGAATAAATCATTAAAAACCCAGCGCAGCCTCGGGTGGTCTTATGAGTGGGTGAAAGCGCGTGGTGCTGTGTGTAGGTGTGTGCGCTCGTAGCGTGGGTGGTCGGCGCGTCCACAGGTACCCACCCCGTCTGTCGCCGCGGAGGCTGGTGCGGTGTGAGGGCTCGTACCCACCGTAAACACCTGTTTCGCGGTCCCTTTAAACGAGCGTTCTCGCCTGCTCACGGGAGCCGCGTGGGTGCGAGCAGCGTCACTTCCCCCTCCGACCCCTGACCTTCCCCGTTCAGAGCGTGTGATTGCTGCACGGGGGCTGTGTGTGAGCGAAAGCACGTAGAGGGTATTTGAATGGACAAAGTGGCTAAGGGGCCAGCCGAGAATGATGTTTCACAGAGAGGAGTCGGGGGGCAGTAGCCCCAACAACTGCTCTAGTGTAGTGCACGTGCGTGTTAGTGCACGAGTGCTATTGTTATAGTGGTGCTGTTGTTACACCGCTACTATGATTATCGTTACTGCGGATGGACGCTCACCGACTGTGGATCCAAACTCGGCCCACAACCTCCTCCAGATTTCCTCGGACCTCAGAACGGTGACGCGGACCGCTGTCTACCAGGGTCGCCCCAATCACCCACACCGCTTTGATGCCTGTGCACAAGCCCTGTGCTCAGAGAGCTTCTCGTCGGGTCAGTACTACTGGGAGGTGGACGTGGGGGGTGCTGCGGGGATCTGTGCGGTTGGAGTCGCGTACGGGACGATCGCACGGAAAGGGAGTGGTAAACAGTGCAGCCTGGGAAGGAACGACTCATCCTGGATTTTATATAAAGTTAACAACAGCTGCATACTGCGTCATGGTGATGTCTGGACCTCAGTGCCGGTGAGGGATTCTCCTCGGAGAGTCGGGTGTCACCTGCACTGGGAGGCGGGGCTGCTGTCGTTTTATCGCGCCGACTCCATTGAGCTGCTGCACTCCGTCCACCACTCGTTTAGTCAACCGCACTACCCCGCACTGAGTTTGTATGGTGATGGTGACTCAGTGAGGATTCTGGATCTTAGTCGTGTGTCTTGAGAGCACGGAGTGTGAGCAGCGCAGAGAAACGGGCACAACGCACAGACTCACGCACACCGTACCAGGAACTCTTTTTTCAGGCTGAGTCGACCTAGGGGAGGCCCATGACCGGTTCACCAACACCAGTGACGATTATCAGAATCGGTCCAGGATCTCCCCTAGGTCGACTGAGCCTCAAATGAGTACCTGCTTCGACCTGCAAACATCGCCACTGGGGAGACAAAGACGGGTCGGGCGTGATGCTGGTCACCGACCCCCTCGTGTGCCACAGTGCCGGACTTCATAGGTGCTACCAGCAAACAGCACTTGCCCCTACAGTCTGTTAAGGCTACACGGGGGGTAATTTTCTTTGGGTTAGTGGGTTGGTCTGTATACCTTTGTCTGTGTGTGTGTTTTGTTATTGTGTCTGTGTGTCTGTGTGTGTGTCTTTGTGTGTATTTTTGTTTTGGTGCTGGCCACCCACCCCCCCGTGTGCAAGAGTGACAGCCTTCACAGGCTCTGTTATTTGCTACTAACAGCCCTTTCCCCAACAGTCTGTTAAGACTACACAGACACACACAGATAGACAAACACACTCACACACATACAAACACACATACACACAAACAGAGAGACACATACACTCACAAATACACTCACAAACAGATACATACAAACACACATACACACAAACAGAGAGACACATACACTCACAAATACACTCACAAACAGATACATACACACACAGATACATACACACACAGATACACACACAGATACGAAGACAAATATCCCCCGTATAGCCTTAACAGACTGTACGGGCAAGTGCTGTTAGTGAGCACCTATAAAGGCCGGCACATCACACGAGGGTGTGGGTGGCCACCATCACGTCTGGCCGCCTTTGTTTCCCAAGTGGCGATATTTACACATTGTACCAGGTACTTATTTGAGGCTGAGACGATCTAGGGGAGGCCCATGACCGGTTTACCAACACCATTGATAACTATCTGAATCGGTCTTGGGTCTCCCCTAGGTCGACTCAGCCTCAAATGAGTACCTGGTGCGATCAGTAAATATCGCCCCTGGGATACAAAGGCGGGTCTCTGCCAGGCTGGCCTTCATAGGTGCTACTCACTAGCAGCACTTGACCCAACAGTATTTTAAGGCTATAGGGGGGGTATCTTTGTCTTTAGTGTATAGATAGCCATGTGTGTAGTGTGGGGTGGAGCGGTGGTGCAGTGGTTAGCGCACTGGTGGGGGAGGGCGGGGGGAGCCAAGGTTCTCTCTGACGTCATCGTCCCTCGCACCGCGCGCCGCGTGGCACTCAACGCCGAGAGGGCGGAGCTCCACCGCGGGCGTGCTGGGAACACGCGTCACGTGACGCTACGGGGTGACGCGCACCGTCCCCCTCGTGGTCACTCGCTCGTTGGGCGATAAACCCCGGGTGGGAATGGGATGGCATCACTAGGGGGGACTACTCGTGGTGTATGTTGAGCGTCGCTGGGCTAAAACATTTGTTATAACCTGGGGTCGAGTGACCCCCCCCCCCACCCAAACTAGTTTTATTTTACAGGACATAGAGAGAGATATAAGCCATTTTAATACCTAGTAGTAGTAGGAGGTCTTTCGCCACCAATATTCGTAAAGATTTGTTTTGATTAATATTTTAATTATCTGCTCTCAGACTTGGACCTGAAGCCACAACCTTCGATTCATGGGATAACGCTTCTGCTGACAAAAATGGGAACTGTGTTTTGACTTTGAAGTGGGTTAAAGTTATTAAGCGCCTGATGTATATCTAGAGTGAAGATTTACCTTACACTACAACACGACTAATATTGTCTCAACATGCATTAATAACACAGAGACACTGTGTGTTATTACAGGGATAGAGACAACGCAAACTCCAAATATACAGCAGCTTTCAGGGTCGGAATCCAACCCACGACCTCCTGTATACCAGGCGAGGGAGTTAACATCTCCGAGCCACCGCAGCGCCCCTTTGTAACGTGAGACACCAATCTGGTGTGAATCCAACCTCGAGCCTCAGGCTGTTTAGCAACGCGTAGATGATTTGATACACATTGATTATATCGTACCAGTTGTGTAATTATGTGAACGCTAATCGCATTGTGTTCTGGGCTGGGGGTGAGATTTCTACTTGCTTCATTGCTGGCATGCGTTTGACTTTTTTTGCTTTTTTCATTTTTGTGACCCAGGTCACTCTTGTCAATGAGACTCATCCTGATCTCCTGAGTTCTCACCTCGTTAAATTTAAATTCAATTCGACTCGATCATCAGCATCAGCAGAAGTATCATCAGCAGAAAAAATAGTAACAGGAGCAACAGCATCAACAGCAGTAGCTCCATCATTATCTTAATCAGCATCAGGAGTAGAACTAGCATCAATAATGATAGAATCATTATCAGCAGTAACAGAATCATCAACAGCAGCAGCATCATTATCATCACTCCGTGCAACCGAGACTCATCCTGGTTTCTTGAGTTCTCACCTGGTTAAACAAATCGACTTTAACACGTAGGCTTTCGCGACCAATATTATCAATGATAAAGGTTTTTTGGGTTAGATCGTGTAAATTTACATAGACCTGATTTTGTTCTGGATTACCTGTGAATTGTAATCACATTGTATTGTGGGTCAAGGGTCAATGTGTTCTGGGTGAATAAAAAATAAATTCTAAAAATATATTGTCAAGATTGTCATCCAGGCTGTGAATGTGACTCTCTCATAGCTGAGACTGACTTGTGTAAACATGTATTTTTTTGGGATGGTTACTGTTGTTTTGTTATATGGATGTTATTTTATCGGAGATTAAACCCGGGCACGGTTAGTAAATCTACAGCTTACGCCTTCACAGGTAAGTGCTGTCTGTAGCCTTGGGCCACATTCCATGGCGCATCTCGTGTTATTTTTTGCTGCACTCTGTCAGTTTGCTTGTTCCTCATCATCATGAGCTATGATGATGAATGGATCCTGACTGATGGATGATGATGAAGAGCACGATGATGATGATAATGACTACGCTTGGTAATGATGACCACCACCTACTCACCTGCACCCAACACTCTCCTCGCCGACACCTGCCACTCCCTAACGTACTACCCCCCAGCCGTCTACAGAGACCCTCCCTCCCACCTGCCCACACCTGCTCGGCCATACACCTGCCCATCCTGCCACCCTCCCAGCTGCCCACCTCATGCATATACAAGCGCCCATTCCCGGCGGATCTCCCTCCCTCCTGATCACCTGCAACCCCGTTCACTCACCCACCCGCACAAAGACAAAGATCCCCCATATAGCCTGAACAGACTGTTGGACAAGTGCTGTTAGCGAGCATCTATGAAGGCCGGCATGGCACACGAGTGGGTGGATGGCCAGCACAAAGCCCGGTCGCCTTTGTCTCCCGAGTGGTGATATTTATACTCCACACCAGGTACTCATTTGAGGCTGAATCGACCTAAGAGAGGCTCATGATCAGTTCAGACAATGGTCATTGGTGTTGGTGGCCATGAGTGGGAATTGAACTTGGATCGGCAGGTTCGTAGCACAGAACACTAACCACTGCAACACCAATCTCCACCTACACACACACACCTGCTCAACCACCCACACGATCACCCTCCTACCCTTCCACCTGATCCCCCACCCATTTACACTTGAAGTTGGGAGAAAATTTGTCAAACAATTAACAATATAAAGTTAAATATTTTTAAAGACAATTTTAACTATCATGCTCAAATAAATCATGAACAAATAAATGGCAATCTTGATTTGAAATAAATGGCAATGATAGAGACGACATTCTTTTAAAAAATAACCTTAAATAGGAATGTGTTACAAGATACCGTTTGGTGCAGAAACCCACAGCCTCACCATAGCCTACGAAATCAGTCCAAGGGACAAACCATCACCGTTTGCCTGGCCACTGTGGGTTTTGTAGAAATCGCGACCCATAAACCCCAACACCGCGGTGTGAATGCAACGCTCCTGTCTAAGCATGTGAGAGTCGATTCGTGTCTTGGTTCGTCGCCGCCGTGTGCGCTCCTGGGACAGCGTCTCTCAGCCACAGCGAGCGGCTATCGGTGAGAAGCCACTGAGAGTCGTGGCGAGTGCAGCTACCACTGAGAGCGTAGCGAGTGGACCTGGCTCCCGTCTGGAAGTGGTAAAAGCCGACCGTGTAACGTGTCTGACGTTGCGTCTAGACCGCTACGTGCACATTTCCACGGAGTGTCTCGTGAGGTTTGTAACCTCGTGCTGAGTAATGTTGGCTTCCTTGTTCATCTCCGATGTTGTGAGCCCCCAGGATGTTGATGGTTAAAATATTTTAATGGGAAAGTCCCTCGATTGAACTTCTCATTCGCATGGGTGTCTTAGGTATCAAGTGACACATGCCTGTTAACTTCGACAAAACGATAGACTACGTGTAAATTTGCACGCATATTTGTGTGCATTTCGGTTTCTTCGTGTGTCTATGAGAGTGTAACTTACACCACTGAGTAGCTATGCCAGTGTGTTTATATTTACTACCCAGACCCAAGCGATGAGGTTATCTATAACATGACACATCACACTATCTACTGTGTAAAGCTCAGATATAGTATACGTGTGTGTAATGCTGTTACATACCCTCACCATGTACTATAGCTGAGTTACAGACAGTGCATAGTGTGCTGTATAGTGTGTTGTGTAATGTTGTTACATACCCTCACCATGTACTATAGCTGAGTTATAGACAGTGCATAGTGTGCTGTATAGTGTGTTGTGTAATGCTGTTACATACCCATACCTGTCAACCCATATGGGTTTACCCGTATTCTTTCTTGCTGTGGTTGTCCCACCTGATGACGGACGCTTGTGTTGCGCCCGAAACGTCGTGATTTAATTTATTTTATACCTACGTGACTTTACCGAAAGAACCAAAGAGTATTAAATTATTATTATTATTACTTGACGCTCACGCCAGTTGGTTCAGAGCACGGGGTCTGCAACCTGCAGCTCCGTAGCGGCGTGCGGATCTTTGAGGGACGGCTGCTTCGTGAGACGTTTTTATTTATCACGGACCAACACCACCACCGTCTCTCGTACTCACACCACGTTCTTATTTATCAAGGACCACCACCACCGTCTCTCGTACTCACACCACGTTGCATTGCGGCTCTTGAAATAACGTGTTGAGTTTTTTTACTTACCGAATTGTAACAAACAAAGAAAAAATGTCTCGTTATTTTGGTTTCTGAACCCCCTGCTTTAGGGGAATCGGTTTTTTAAACCCTGAATACGATCTGACAGCGGTGTAGTTTGCTGGGTAAAACGCACAGCCTCACCCTAGCCAGAATGTTTTGTTTACGTGACAAACCTTTCTCATTGATTGTGTCGGGTGGTGGCGGGTTTAACGACACGTTAAATATTTACGCGATCTAACCCAAAAACACGTTTAATGAATAATATTGGTCGCGATTAGCCTACTTATATTTTTAAATCTGAAAAGACAGTACGAAGCGATAGAGGGACATTACGGCTCACCGGGACCATGGTTACTAATTGAAGTGCTAATGATGATTGATGGGACGAGCGTTGACAGGATCACGTGAGGGGAAGCACGTGACCCAATTGCCGTGAAGTGTAACAAGGGCGTAGATTGAATAAGAGACGGTGCGAACCGGACTAGGGAGCTGTTGTTGTGGGGAATCGCCGTCGTCTCCATCGTCTCTGAGTAGTCTTGAGGCTAGAATTACATTGTCTCATCAGAATAGAGTCGTCTAATTACCCAAGTGTATATCGTCACTCGTTACGTTGTCAGCAGACTTTATTCATAATAAATATACATGAAGAATTAGACGGTGTCTCTGAGAGCTACATTACAAATGTAACGCCACGTCTACACAGGTGAGCACGGGCTGCCGCGGGGAACATTCCAGGGCGAGTCTAGTGGTGTTCATAATTTAACTGCAGGTGAAGTCAGATCGTTTTCTTGTTCGTCGTGGCTGCTCCGTGCTTTTTTAATCTCACTGCGGTGGCTAGGAGATGTTAACTACCTTGCCTGGTATACAGGAGGTCGTGGGTTCCATTCCAACCCTGACGCCTGCTATATATTTGTAGTTTGCGTGTCCCTCTCGTCGTGGTCCCGTGGATTTTTTTCTGCTTCTTACCTGGTAAAATATAAAGAAAAATATAAAGAAATATTTTAAATAGAATTTGCCAAAATCAGCCAGAGTAAAGGATGTAAAATTTTGACATTTTGACATTGACAAGAATAGGTGATGAAGACTTCTTTTGTTTAGGTATTGACGATTTTAAACATTGAACAATATATTTTATATTCTTGGTTCTTTTGGTAAAGTCACGTAGATATTTTTTTTACCGAAAAATCAAAGAGTATGGATTCCTGCAGTCACGAAGGCTTCAAAGCAAGAACGATGGGAAGCGTCTGTCGTCAAAGTAAAAAGTCACATCGGTGATTAAATCGCGCGTAGTGAATTGAAAGAGACATTGATGAGGCGTCAACCATTAATGTTGTACAACAACAACAGCAGCAGCTGCTGAGCGTCAACGAGCTGCACCACTCGCACGCCGTTCGCCACAACGCGCTACAGACGCAGTCCATGGCGACACGGAGCCAAGGCGAATTTGTCGCTGCACTCCGACAACAAAGAAAGCGGTGGATAAAGCAAAGCACTTTCTGGTGATCACCCGAATGTCAACAAGACGCAGGGAACTACTAACTTTTATATGTATATATACTGTAGATGTCCTATAATGCAGGTTGTTTGAGTTAGATGGTTAACCCCCAATAAAACTGTAATGGATATTGGTCGCGAAGGCTTTACGTGTTAAACTACTGTGGATGTATTATGGTGATGTGTTAACTTTCCTTGTACTTGCGCTATCATGATTGTGTACTGTTTGTTGTAACGTTCTTACCCCGTGCTCCTACTGGACATCTGTTAAAAAGCGCTTTACAGGTCATCGGATTCCTCTTGTAGTATAAATATTCCGATTCTGATGTATGTCAGTCCAAAGATGCCAAATTAACATCTGTGATAATAACAAATCGCGTTACTGGTATCTGCTTTGATCCACATTGCTCACCGTAGCTATTTGGAATGTACCACTCACTCAGCGGGGGGGGGGGGGGGGGGGGGTACAACAATTTCGCATTAACTTTTATTTTAAAACAAATATACAAAGCAAGTCAGCATGATAACTTTGCAACTGTTATAGTACAACTATTAGCTAATTACAATTTGAATCGACGGAAGATGGTCAAGTTGTATTCGTAACATCAATTTCCAATTACATAATAATTCATATAATAAAAATAAAATTATAATAATTCGATTTTTATTATTACTTAACGCTGACGCCATTTTGTTCAGAATCGCGTTCGGCAACTGCAGCCTCCGTAGCAGCGTGGTTGGATTCCATTTTACCGAATTGTAAAAAATAAGAAAAAATGGCTCTCGTTGTTTTGGTTGGTGACTCCCCTGGTTTAGGGGAATCGTTTTTTTTAACCTTGAACACGAACTGACAGCTGTGTGGTTTGCTGAGCAAAACGCATAGCCTCACCCTAGCGGGATGTTTTTTGTTTAGGTGACAAACCTTACTCATTGGTTGTGTCGGGTGGTGGCGGGTTCAACGACGTATTTATATTTACGCGATCTAACCCAAAAACACGTTTTATGGATGATATTGGTCGTGATAGCCTACTTATAATTTTAAATCTTAAATAAGAATTTACGTGGTGTGGTTTACAGTGGAAAAACACAGCCTCGCCCAAGCGAGTGTAACCAGTCTATAGGACAAACCATCACTGTTTTCATGGTTACCGTGGGGTTTATGTTCAATATATCAATTGCGACTCTTTAACCTTGACACTGTGTGTGTGAATGTGACGCCACGTCTACACAGGTGAGTACGGGCTGCCGCGTGCAACATTCCAGGACGCGTCTCATGGTGTTTATAATTTAGCTGCAGGTGAAGTCCGCTCGTTTCCTTGTTCGTTGTCGCTGCTCTGTGATTTTTTCTTTTTTACATCTCGCTGCGGTGGCTGGAATATGTTAACTACCTCGCCCGGTATACAGGAGGTCGTGGGATCGATCCCGGCCCTGACGCCTGTACATGTACTTGTCTCTCTCCCCGTAGTCGCGTGAATTTGTCTCCGGTCCTCCAATTTTTCCCTCCACACTTAAAAACTTGAGTTTAGAGTGTTTGGCTGCTAGAAATATCTGCATAATAAGCCACGTCGTTGAGCTATGATTTGTGGCCACGTCGCTTCTGAAAATAGCTATAAACCTCAGTGGGCCTTACCTGGTCAAATAAATTTTTTTTTATATAGAATCGTCTAAACTCGGCGATTCCAGGATGTAAAATCTTAACATTAACAATAGGTGATGAATATATATTTGTTAGGTTATTAAGATTTAAATCCTCGATTTTTTTACGCATAATAGGAAAATGGACGGTGAAAGTCATATAATGAGCTTAAATGAACCACGATGTTTGTTTAGCCAGGGGCTGTTCGCTGTGGTAATGCGTGAGGCCACCCAAGTAACCACTAACTCAACCGCACGCCCTCCCAGCCACCCTTCCTCCAGCCCTCTCTCACCACCTGCTCGCCCACCCTCACGCCATCCTCCTGCCCATCTGTCTCCCCTCTCACCAAATAACCCCCCCACTTACTCAACCACCACCACCCCCCCTGCACCTTTAGCAAGAGTGGCTACGTACGCTGGGAAATAAGTTCAAGATACACTCACCCACCCACTCGCATACCTCCGATTAGCACGGTTGACTACGTATGGTGTGAAAGAAGTTCAACATACATACAACCACCGTCCACCCAGAATAAAACGGTGTCGTAGGAATAAAAAACAAAAACATATTTGACACATGAACAGAGGACGCACAAAGCCAGTTGTTAAAATATTAGCTGATAAAGATGTTAGACGATTACAGACTGTGAAGCTTAAACAAACAGGCCTTGCAAGAAAAAAAATGGATAAAGACACGGAAAAAAAAACACGTTAACCTTTACATCAGAATGCACAAGGTGCGATTCCATTGTAAAATACACACAGCCTGACCCGAGCCGGTCAATCAGCTTGTGGGACAAACCATTATTGCTGTGTCCCGGGTTGCTGCTGCTGGGTTTTGTTTGTACAAATAGTATATCACTTGAGACCGGTCAAAGCTATGTATGTTTAACTTCTTCCACACTGCACATAGCCAACAGTGCTAATTCGAAGTGCAGGGGAAGGACAACAAACTAAACACAAAAATCAGTTTTAGCTATTACACAGTGCGTGACTGTAACGCCACGTCTACACAGGTGAGCCCAGCCGCCGTGTGGAACATTCCAGGGCGTGTCTCGAGGTATTTATAACTTAACTGCAGGTGAAGTCAGTTCATTTCCTTGTTCGTCTCTACACTGTGTGAGCTGCTGCTGCGATAGCTCCTCTGTGAGCCGCGGCGAGCGACTGAGTCCGAGTGAAGCCATGGGCCATGGCGAGCGCGTCTCCCAGTGATTGTGTCGACAGTGAGCTGAGCTGCCCCATCTGCCTGGGCACGTTTGACTGCCCCTCCACGCTGAGCTGTGGACACTCGTTCTGCCTCCGGTGTCTGGACGGTGCCTGGGAGAGAGCGAGCAGCTTCAGCTGCCCGCAGTGCCGAGCGGCCTTCCGTGAGCGACCCCAGCTGAAGAGGAACGTGGCACTCGCCAACCTGGTGGAGCAGCTCAGAGTTGGAGATAGGATGGCTGGAGTTGTCTTCTGTGACGGCTGTGATGATGGGGAGACTCCTGCAGTGAAGACCTGCCTCAGGTGTGAGACTTCCTTCTGTGAATCCCACCTGAAGCCTCACCTTAAAAACCCCAAGTTTAAAGACCATGTCCTAGTGGCTCCCATTGTTAATGTGGAGGAACGGAGATGCAAGAAGCATGAAGATCCCTACCAGTTCTACTGCAAGCAGGACGGCGGCCTGGTCTGCACGGTCTGCTCCATCACTTGTGCACACAAACGACATGATGTCATCGCACTGGAAGATGAGCACAAGACACGGAAGGTGAAGTGCTTTATGGGGCGCATGGAAGCCACTCAAACGATACCAGAACACACATTGATAAAAGCTGTCACTGGGCAAACAACATTTGATGTTACTCATCACCCTGGGCTTATTTTTTATCCGTTGTGTCTTGCCTTTCAGACTGTCCAGTCAGTAGAGGTTGACTTGCTTGCCTATTTTCTATTGGGCTTTTCATGGCCATCACTGTGGAGGGCTCTGTGTGGAGTGGGGCTGAGAGGGGGTCGCTCAGGGAGTGGAGTCTCCTCTGGTGACTTCGTCTCTTACAGAGTGGAGTCGGAGCGGAGACGCGATCGGTGGAGGAGAAGAGGAAGAAGGCGGAGGCGTCCGTGGGACGGATGAAGGCCGCTCGCAAGGCCGTGCAGGTACCACGCATGGGCTTTGTTATCTTGTGACCTTTACCATGCGTGGAGTCTGTGACTCTCTCCCTGTGAGGACAACTCTGTAGATTAAAGTGAACTTTGTTAGTATTGAGTCAGTGTGTAATAACTGTGCAGGATATGCATTATTATCGCTAGGGGTGCTTGAAATATAAATTAGATAAAACATTCAACGTTTTCCCTTCAAGCGGGCCATACAGACTCAGGGCTATGCTCTCTCGGGTCCTCCGCTACGGGACCTAGGGGAGGCTAAGCTGACCCGACCTAGCCAAGGTACGGGTCTCACCACTGGTCCACTACAACCCGGCTCTTACAAGAGCCTCGGTTGAGGGTCCCAGGGTGCTGGCCTTGTCTTCAAGTCTTCAGACGTCTTCGGGTCTTGAGTGGACGAACACTGCCGGTCCCGTTGAGAGGACCGGCTTTTATACACCAGTTGGGGATACCTCGCCCCGAGCCTCTCCTTCCCTCGAACCTTCCAGAGGGTCCTGGAAGGGTCGGGAATGGACCGTTGTCTCCCAGCCCCCATCCCCATGGGGATCTGGGGTCCCTACCTCCGGTCACGGGGCACCCAGGGAGGGGGGGTTACCTTAGGTTAACCGCTACACCTCCCGCTCACTCTCTCGGCTGCCCCCTATCGGCCTGTGATAGTGGTGACAAGTAAAAAGACATACAGCGCCTTGGTATGGCGCAACATATGTAAAAAAAAAAGTTCATATCTCGTGAGACTGACAGCACTTCGCAGGTTAACTCGAATGACTTGCAATGAGTGAGATAAATTAACGCAGTATGGAGCAACGACTACATTGAATTAGAAACTATAAATTAAACGAGTGAAGATGAAATTACAGGAAATCGGCTGTTAAATGCTAGAATGAACACAAGAGACATCACTTCAAGAGAGTACAGGGAATGCTGGAAAACAAGTTTGCTCTATTTCGATTTAAAGCTTTCGTGACTGCAGGGATTCATCTTCTTGGGTCTTTCGGTAAAGTCACGTAGAAGGGAAGTAATAAAATAATAAAAATAAATATAAAATATTATTAATTCTAGATTTGAAGCTTTCGTGACTGCAAGGATTCATATTCTTAGGTTTTTTTCGGTAAAGTCACGTAGGTAAAAAATTTAAATTAAAAAAAGTAAAATAAAAATAAAAATCACGACGTTTCGGAGGCAACACAAGCTTCCGTCTTCAGGTGGAATCGTCACAGCCACGACAGCTGTATCAAGTAAATGAGAGATTACAAGAGATACCACTCCGTATACGCCAGCGGCCACGTGGCGAGCCAGAGGCTGTCTCCTTGCGCGCCATTTGCCAGCGGCGTGCGGGAGGAAGGGGGAGCGTGAGTGAGCTGTACGCGGAGCGACAACATCTAACGCGAGGAACGAGAGTGGAGCGGTGTCAGTGTGAAGAGAATGTGGAGCTGTCCGGCCGACGAGAAATAAATAATAAAGAAGACATGAACTACAGATCGTCGTCGAAGTAGCATTAGCTTGCTTGAGCTATAGCTAATGTACTGCCCTTAGTTTATAGGAAAGGATCCTTTCGTAGTGGTCCTAGTTAGATGCGAAATTTTATAATACACAACGCAAACAATCATTAGACTCGTTGTGGAGAATATAACTATAAAAATAAAATAAACAGACATAATTTCCTTACACTCCGTATACGGAGTGGTATCTCTTGTAATCTCTCATTTACCTCCGTGACTTTACCAAAAAAAACCTAAGAATATGAATATATTATTATATTATTTTATTATATTATTATATTATTTTATTTTATTATGTTTTATTTTTATTATTTTATTACTTCCCTTCTACATGACTTTACCGAAAGAACCAAGAAGAAGTTTGCTCTAATTACACACACCCAACGCTCAATCAGATGTAATACGAGGATTCACCGACGGTCGCCGATCGGTGGGATAGGCTCCGCCGCTTCAGCCATCAGCCAATTAGATGGATGCGCCAAGTTCAAGGGTGGAGCTCAAGGGTTCTTGTGGGTAACCATCCAGAAGGTTCGTAAGGGGGCGTGGCTATAGGCGAGGCTTGTTGACGTAGGTGAAGGGTTATAAGGGGAAGCAGGAAGGAGCTTTGAGTCAGTGTGTGGAGTCGAGAGGCGAGACCATGTCTCGCACCTCCGGCACGCCAGCGGCCACGTGGCGAGCCAGAGGCTGTCTCCTTGCGCGCCATTTGCCAGCGGCGTGCGGGAGGAAGGGGGAGCGTGAGTGAGCTGTACGCGGAGCGACAACATCTAACGCGAGGAACGAGAGTGGAGCGGTGTCAGTGTGAAGAGAATGTGGAGCTGTCCGGCCGACGAGAAATAAATAATAAAGAAGACATGAACTACAGATCGTCGTCGAAGTAGCATTAGCTTGCTTGAGCTATAGCTAATGTACTGCCCTTAGTTTATAGGAAAGGATCCTTTCGTAGTGGTCCTAGTTAGATGCGAAATTTTATAATACACAACGCAAACAATCATTAGACTCGTTGTGGAGAATATAACTATAAAAATAAAATAAACAGACATAATTTCCTTACACATCTGTCTCTCCAACGAATACATAAATTCATAAACCTTACATCAGCTCCACAGTCTTCTGGGAGTGCATCATTTTAGTAGTATTGATTCCATCGAGGAAACACTGGACTGGTTTAAACATCAAATAATTATTTGTCTAAGATCCATATCATAGAGGGTCCTTGTCTATAACACCTAGCAGTTCACCTGCGTTAATTCAAGCGAGCCTGACTGCTCATGATACACTGCATGCCAAAACCGGTCCAGAGTTTGCTGCACTGAATGAATACAGTTATGCTAGAATTATACAATCCCAAAAGGCCACCAGGCCAATATATTACGTTCAAAATACTTTTATTGTTGATGTGGAGAGACAGATCTATGTGGATGGTGACTTGTGCTTATCTATTTTGTAAGTAATCTACAGATCCTCACCAATACACTTCTGGACGAAGACTTCCCCACATTGTGTTGATCATTGAGGCTAGTTGGCCATACTTAGTTATGCAGGTCAGTGCGGGTTGCTGAAGGTAAAATCCAGAACTGGTTCACATCACACTCATCACGCAGCTCTCTAATAAATTTGGAGGGTGGGGAGGACGCCCAGCCGAGGCTGAGAGGCAAGGGCATTCCAGTAACGTGAGTAGGAGCAGCCTGGAAGGACGTGTCACCAATCCTCGTTTTAATAATTGATTTCATTTTTAAGAATAGAGATATACTTTTTAATCTGCGACTATGAATTTGCGGAATTAGGAGGTGCTTACATATGTAACGACTCCAGTGATCTTGTGATTATCTTTATCGAAGACACGTTCACTTGACAGGCGAAGACCCCGACTCCAACAGCAGCCTCGAGCCTCTCCTCTCGACCCCTTTTATGCCCAGCATGGCCATCCCTTGACCCTTGGCCACGACCCTTCTCTAGAACCTTCTGAATGGCTCTCGGCCCCTGATCCGCACCTGCTCCCTTCTATCACTTGGCCACAGCCCCTATTCTCGATCCTTGTCGTAGAACCAGATCCTTCCCCTGTCCGTCACTTAACCTGTCATTATCCCCTGTGGTCCCTAGTCTCTTCCCATACTAATTCCCCTGTCATTACCCCATTGTGACCGCTAGTCCCCTGTACTGTCTTTACACGTATTTGTCAGTTTTGTTCAAAAGAACGTTAACGATGAAGGTATCCAGGGGGACAAATTAAAGGTGATACAGAGGATGTAATCATGCATTGATATGGAGGCATCAAGGTCAAAGTGGGCGGCCAGGTGGTAAAATGGAACGAGAGAGGCTAGGCGGTCGATGATTACACTGGCATCAAAGATGGAAGGATGGTGGCTTGGACTATATAATTACTGGCCAAATTATCAATGTGAAGGACGAGATAACACCTAGCTACTTAAAGTTATTGACCTGTTAAGTGGGAGCTCAACGACAATGTCGAGGCAGGGAAATCTAGGTTTGAAATATACAAAAAACAATGTGACTTTGGTCTTCACAGCATGGTATATGAATTGATAGAATCTATCACATGCCCCTTTGCAGGATTCCATGGTCCAGACCAAGGCTCGCATCTCATGCGAGTTCACCCATATGAGGGCGACACTGGATGAAGACGAGAGGGCAGCTCTGGACCGCGTGGACGTGAAGGGGCGTGAGCTCCTGTCCCAGATCAAGGAGAACATCGCTCATTACGAGCGCGAGATTAGTGACCTCCAGGCAGCAGCCACGCGCCTGCGCGCTCTGCAGGAGGAGAGGGACTCGCTCACATTCCTGCAGGTAGAGCGCTCACGGAGCCAGGGCAAGTGCCCCAGTTCGCTTATATTCGTTGCGTTTTTTTAAACATGGCACATGCGATGCATCTTAACGCAAGGATAAAGCATCTTGCATAGCCAATACAATGTATAGCCCATGCATTCTGAAATTAAATGAGGAATCAAGTCCACTGACGTGGATTTGTATATTCTGATAAAAATATAAATTACTGTTAAAATTCCAATTCATAAATAAACGATTAACACGCAAATCCCTCGAGTTAATCGGTTGGTAATGTCTGCAGATGTTGGTATTTAAAATTGTAACCGCATGGTCCTGTAATGTACAACAGATTGAGACTTCTTCACACTACATTTTAATTATTGATGTAACCAAATGTAGACCAACCATCAGTCATGCTGAAAATAGAAGTGCTTTTAACTCTAAGAAATACAGGGGGCTTTGTTTTTCAGCACTGACTGTTGATGAGACCAATGTGGAGATTGCCTGCTTCAAAAAATGTTCACCATGTTAAACTATCGACTCTGCTAACGCGATTCTCTGGGTGTAATTCACCCTCACAGTGCTTACTTATTTTGAATGTTGGTTCACAATCACTGCGAATCGACATCGAATGCTACGGACGCATCTTCCTGTGACATTGGGTACCGAGTGGCAACGATTTGAGAGGCCACACCTTGCTGATGAGAACCATCGAGTCCGAACGACTCCACGGCTTTGTCATGTTTACAACCTACAACACTGGAATATGCGAATTGCTGAGCGCAGCCCAGCTCATTGCGTCTATGAATCACCATGTGGTTAACGTGGCTGGAGGTGAACTGACTCACACCCTCTGTGTCTGACTCCTGCAGGTTCACCTAAAGGAGACAAACCGGTATGGACTCATAAAGTCACACAAATTAACACATGGGGTGGCGCCATGTGTGGGACATGGGCTGCGTGATGATGATGTGTGTAATGATGATGTGTGGTAGGATCCTGTGAGTGATGGTTTATGTTGATGCTGTGTGATGATGTTGTGCGTGATGATGATGTGTGGTATGATCCTGTGTGAAATTATACTGTATTATGGGACCTTTTTACCTGTATCATAGTGTAGTGGCTGACTCAGAGACACTAAGAGTAGGAGGCACTCTATTTATTAAACGGCCTTAACAGTTCACACTTGGTAACTACGATTAGGCCTCGGCAAGGTAAGGTAAAAGTTAAAAGGTTAAAACAACGAGCCTATTTTTACCCTACCTTTTACCTTACCACAATACAATCACTCTACCCTACCTTTAACCCTTTAGCAGGTAAGGTAAAAGGTAAAAAGCAACGAGCCTACCTTTTACCCTTACCCCATATAAATTACCCGATTTACAGGGTAATTACTAGGGTACTACTCATGAACAAGGTTCATAACGGTAAATGCTAGGTAGAGCGCTTTATTAATATAGAATACTCTCGATGATTCCAATTTTACACGTTTTCTTTTAACTCACTGTCTGTTGTCGTTGTTGTCATTGTTGTCGTTGTCGTCGTTGTATCCTCAAATCTTGTAACTAAATTTTTACCCACTTCCTAATGTGGTATCGACTGCAAACTTGGTATACTTATGTCATACTGATGACAACACTATATTCTATCATAAAATCATTTTTTTACATGTTATGTTTCGGCTTGGCTCTAATTGTCCACGCTCAACTGACGTCTGTAAATCACCATGGCCCCTTACGTTATGGCAAACTTCGGGGCCACTTCCTGGAGTCATGGAGTTCTGCCATTACGAGTACATTTCATAAAAGCGTGTTTTTAATAAAGTTTGTTTAAATATTACTTATTAAATGGAGGCCACGGACTGCGCCACGGAGCTTTTATCGGTAAACAAGGTACCGTATTTACCGGGTAATACTTTGCGCTACCTTTACCCAACTGGGTACTTCTTCCAAGCTACCTTTACCCTACCCTTTATCTTACCCCTTGGCATGTCGACACCTTTACCCTTTTACCCGGTAAAAAGGGTAAATTACCTTACCTTGCTGAGGCCTAACTACGATTCCCAGTCAGGACAGCTGGTAGACTGCCTGACTGGCAACGCTGAGATGGTGAAGACGGAGACTAAGATGAAGACTCCAGCAGCAGCACGACAGAATCCCACTCTACACGACAGCCCCGAGGTCCCCTCCTGGGGCCCCTCTTATACTGCCAGCGTGGCCTGGCTCCGCCGTGGCCACGCCCCCCTTCGGGAACCTACTAGCAGGTTCTCAATGTGTCCCTTTCGTGACCCTTCCCCTACATCCATCTCTGATCTATCACGTGACCTGCTGTCAGTCAGGAATTCTGTAAGCTGCAGATCCCCTTCTCTGCCAGCAGCCAGCTCTAAGCTATGTGACCGATTCTATGTCACTACAATAGTATGAAAAGTAAGAATAGGTTTACCCTTTCTGGAAATAAAACAGGTGTTAGGATGTTCAAACAGCAATGGCAAGGAATCAAGGCTACATTAAACCACATGTACTTGTGATGAACCTGCAAACAAACATGCTCACTGTTCGCCTTTCGCGTTCTCTGGTCTGACACTGATGAGACTAGGCCATAAAGAAGGCTGTCTCTGTTCTAGGCCAATCAGTTTCAAAGACATTGCATCATATATAATTATCAGAGAATGTTTGCATGTTCACGATAAGTGCGTGTGGTTAATGCAGATTGTATTCCTTACAATATATCAATTTGGTGTTTGAACATCAGAGCACCTAGTTTATTGCCAGAAAGGGCAAAACCTATTATTTTTCAAAAGATGATGCTGGGTAAGACACGGGCTGTCTGATGTTGCTGTGAGTGATGATGCTATGATGATGCTGTCTGATAGTGCAGTGTAAGACACGGGCTGTGTGAGTCATTGCTGGTTCTGGGCTCACAGGAGAGACGCTCAGAAGGGATCTCCACCCTCATCTCCCAGTGAAGAAGACATCGCCTCGATCAGCACCCTGCAGGGAGCTGTGGTCAACTTGCTGGCATTCATGTGTGAGTTCCACGGACTCTTGCCACGTGTGCGTCTGTTATTGTGCGTGTAATTGCGCTTGTACATGTATGTTGCAGAGCTGTAGTGTCGTGGTTAGTGCGCTGCACTTCGAACCTGGCGTCCTGAGTGTGAATCCCGCTCTCGGCCACCAACACCAGTGATGGGTTATCTGAACCGGTCCTGGACCTCCCGTAGGTCGACTCTGCCTCAAATGAGTACCTGGTGCGGTGTGTAAACATTACCACTGGGGAGACAAAGTCGGCCTGATGTGGTGCTGGCCACTCACCCCGTTATGTGCCGTGCGGGCCTTTATAGGTGCTTACTAATAGCACTTGCCTCAAAAGTCTGTTGAGGATATACGGGGGTATCGTGTTTTTGTAATAGTGTATAGATCTATGTTGAACTTTGTTCAACATAGATCTCGTTCACACCAACCGTGCTAATCGGAGGTGTATGGATGAGCGGGAGTGAGTACGAATGTCCAGTGAAGATAGGATGGTTTGTGCACTGAGATACAAACATGGCCACCAACAGGCTATTCACGGTTTTGGCTAACATCAGTGGTGAGTGGATTCAGAACCAATTTTGGAGCTCTCCTAGGTCCACTCAGCCTTAATGAGTACCTAGAACGTCTTGTAAAGATAACCACTGCAGACACAAAGGCTGCCTGTAGGATTTGTACGGTTCAATGATAAAGACTATGGCTTTTAGAACGAGATCAAGGGACGTTTAGGAATCGTTTGGTTGATTGTTAATACCCAAGGACCATACGTCCAGACTAAGAAACATTTAGGAGTCTTAGGCTTCATGTTAACAGTTTGATGCACAGAGTCAAACTAATGCACTTTCAGAATTCTTAGGTTTCCCAGTTAATGGCTGATGCTCACAAAGCCAGACTAAGGCATAACCATCGTCAACCTTTTCTATCAATCACTGTACGTGCACACATAAACATTGCGACTATAATGGATTCAATAAACGATAGCACACACACTAGGGTATTTCACTGTTACATGAGCTCCATTGATATTACACGTGTGTATTATCCAGTGAGGATGATGTTGGCCAAAGTAACCATTGTAGCAGATTAATCAATGACTATAAGTCTTCTCTGTGATGGATGTCATCATCAGACTCGAACCAGACTCCATCACCGTTGTGATGCGTAAGGTTCATTGCTAATAATGCGTGAAGCTGCCATATCCCTACCAAGGCACAGTAAGGATTATTATGGATTCAATGTTAATACTCGAGGCAAACAGCACACGCACGAGTGTAAATGAGTATTACATGAGCTCTATTAACCCTACACGTGTGTATTATTGAATGAGGATGCTGTTTGGGGGGGGGGGGACACATCCCCCCCAATATTCAAATATGCTCAAAATGTCCCCCCCAAAATATTGCTATAAAATAGATTTTTGTTTCTATGATTGTGGTTATGGTTGTACTATTTTAATCCCAAATCTCTAACATTACATACAATGAAACAAGAAAAGGTAAAAACATAACAGAGAAATGTAATACAATACATTGTAAAAAAAATGCATAAAAGTCCATCCTATGTGTTAGTGAATTTTTGTATATTTTACGCAGGAAATGGCAGGAAATTCGTTCTCAAATTTAGATTTTTTTTTATCTCGGGGGGGGGGGGGGGGAGGAGACCATCAAACCCCCTGGAGGATTTGGTCCCCACCAATATTGATTGACTCCATGGCTACGGCCTTGGCAAACACACACACGAGTGTACATCACTACACTATCACACACACGAGTGTACATCATTACACTATCACACACACACACGAGTGTACATCACTACACTATCACACACACGAGTGTACAATACTACACTATCACACACACACGCGAGTGTACATCACTACACAGTGGTGGATCATCTCAACTGGTAATGGGCCTCCCCTGGGTCGACTCAGCCTCGAGTGAGCAGCTGGTGCGGTGTGTAAACGTCACCACAGGGGAGACGAAGGCGATCGAGCGTGGTGTTGGCCAACTCCACCCACCTCGTGTGCCGTGCCGCCCTTCACAGGTGCTCACCAAAAGCACTTGCTCCTACAGCCTGTGAAAGGTTACACGGGAGATGTTTGTGTTTGTTGTACACACACAGAGACGCTACGGCGGTGTTGATATCCACGCCGCTGCTACTGCTGTGATCCACTGCCTCCCACGGGCGCTACCGCCACAGCAGGGCTGAACAATTAATCGATTTAAAATCGAAATAGCAATTTGAAACAATGCGATTCCTAGTACTTTCTTATTGGAATTGTTTTAATTTGTGTTATTAGAACTTTATTGATTTAACTTAACAATTGTTATATGTTTGATTGTTCTATTTCAATTAATTTTTTTAATAAATACATGTTGGAAGCAAATCATATCTTTTAAGTTCTCATCCTTGCATTACAATATATAGAGCAGTTCATATTTGATGGTATAATGTAGTAATGCTCCATCACATGTTTTAAATCTATTACACAGTTAATATTGAACTGAAGCTTGACTTTAAAAAATTTAATCGCAAATCAAATCGCAACATCTGTCAGAAGAATTGCATTTAGAGATTCTCCCCAAATCGTGTAGCCCTAGCGCACAGAGCGCCCCACCTCCTGGCACCTCGCAAAGCCCCGCAGCGGCTGGGCCTGGGCAGGGCTCGCACGTGCAGACACCACCACCCTGCCTAGCAGGTGCTACAGGCTGCGGGGCCACGTGGCGGGGCAGTCATCACCCTGCCTAGCAGGTGCTACAGGCTGCGGGGCCACGTGGCGGGGCAGACAAACGCACCGCTGTACTGTACTTTTGTGCTCTCGCCAGCCGCGCCGCCTGCCTTCGCCAATGCGCAGTGACCGGCGTGGTGAAGTATGGTCAAATATCCCACACGACAAGTATGGTGTAGTGAAGCCCTCATCCAGCATTGGATTGACAAAGTGCCCGTTACATGTCATCACACCGATAGTTACGCATTACAACGTTGTATAACAAAGTTCATTATGAATTACTCTATTGTAATGTACGTGCGTGTTAGTGCACGAGTGCTGTTGTAATAGTTGTGCTGTTGTCACACGGCTACTGTGATTATCGTTACTGCAGATGGACGCTCACCAACTCTCGACCCAAACTCGGCCCACAACGACCTCCAGATTTCCTCGGATCTCAGGACGGTGGCGTGGACCGCTGTCTCCCAGGGTCGCCCCGATCACCCACACCGGTTTGATGGCTATACACAAGCCCTGTGCTCCCAGAGCTTCTCGTCGGGTCAGCACTACTGGGAGGTGGACGTGGGGGGTGTGGCGGGGGATTGTGAGGTTGGAGTCGCGTACGGGACGATCGCTCGGAAAGGGAGTGGTAAAGAGTTATGGCTGGGACAGAACGACTCGTCCTGGGTTTTATATAAAGATAACAACTGCTGCTACGTGATTCATGGTGATGTATTGACCTCAGTGCCGTTGAGGGATCCTCCCCGGAGAGTCGGGTGTCACCTGCACTGGGAGGCGGGGCTGCTGTCGTTTTACTGCGCCGACTCCATGAAACTGCTTTACTCCATTCACCACTCGTTTAGTCAACCGCTCTACCCCGCACTGTATGTGTATGGTAATGAAGGTGACTCAGTGAGAATTGTGGATCTGAGTCGTGCGTCCTGAGAGCACGGAGTGTGAGCAGCGCAGAGAAACGTGCACAACGTACAGACTCACGCACACAAAGACACAGATCCCCCGTGTAGCCTTAACAGACTGTTGGGGCAAGTGCTAGTAGCGAGCACCTTTGAAGGCCGGCACGGCACTCGATGGGGTGGGTGGCCAACAATACGCCCGACCGCCTTTATATCCCCAAGGTTGATGTTTACACACCGTACCAGGAACTCATTTTTCAGGCTGACTCGACCTAGGGGAGGCCAATGACCGGTTCACCAACACCAGTGACGATTATCGGAATCGGTCCACGATCTTCCCTAGGTCGACTGAGCCTCAAATAAGTACCTTCTGCGATGTTCAAACATCGCCACTGGGGAGACAAAGGCGGGTCTCTCCCAGGCTGGCCTTTATAGGTGCTACTCACTAACAGCATTTGATACAATAGTTTTTAAGGCTATATGGGGGATCTTTGGGTGAGTGGGTTGGTATGTGTGTGCCTTTCTCTGTGTGTCTTTGTTTTTGAATCTTTGTGTGTCTGTGCGTGGTGCTGACCACCCACCCCCTCGTGTGTTACAGTGCCAGCGTTCATCGGTGCTACTCGCTACTAACAGCACTTGCCCAAACAGTCTGTTAAAGCTACAGGGGGTACCTTTGTCTTTAGTGTATAGAGAGCCATGTGCGTCGTGTGGGGTTGAGCGGTGGTGCAGTGGTTAGCACACTCGTGGGGGAGGGCGGGGGGAGCCAAGGTTCTGACACCATCGTCCCTCGCACCGCACGCCGCATGGCGCTCAACGCTGAGGGGGCGGAGCTCCACAGCGGGCGTGCTGGGAACACGCGTCACGTGACGCTACAGGGTGACGCGCGCCGTACCCTCGCGGTCACTCGTTCGTTGGGCGATAAACCCGGGGTGGGAATGGGATGGCATCACTCGGGGGGAACTACTCGTGTTGTGTGTTGAGCGCCGCTGGGCTAAAACATTTGTGTTAAAACCAGCGGTCGAGTGACTCCTCTACCTACCCAAAGTAATTTTATTTTACAGAGCATTGAGAGAGAGAGAAGCCATTCTAACACCTAGTAGTAGTAGGATGGCTTTCGCCACCAATATTATTTGTAATAAAGGTTTGTTTTGTTTAACGTTTTAATAATATGCTCTCAGACTGAGACTTTGGACCTCCAGCCGCAACCTTCGATTCATGGGATAACGCCTTCCCCTGCTGACAAAAATTGGAATTGTTTTTTGACTTGGAAGTCGGTTATTTAATTAAGCCTGATATATATCTAGAGTGAAGATCTACTTTACACTGCAACACGACTAATATTGTCACAAACACTTTGTCTTATTAATGCGTAAGACACCAATCCGGTGTGAACCCAACCTCAAGTCTGAGGCTGTTTAGCAATGCGTACATGATTTGTGACACTGATTATATCGTACCAGTTGTAAAATGGTATGAACGCTAATCACATTGTGCTCTGGGCTATGTGTGAAATTTCTATTTTCTTCATTGCTGGCATGGGTTTGACTTGTTTTTTTTCGTTTTCATGAACCAGGTAACTCTTGTCAATGAGACTTATCCTGGTATCTTGAGTTCTCACCTGGTTAAACAAATTGACTTTAACACGTAGGCTTTCGCGACCAAGGTTATCAATAATAAAGGTTTCTTGGGTTAGATTGCGTAAATATAAAAAAATACTTAATTGTGTTGTGGGTTACCTGTGAATTGGAATCACATTGTATTGTGGTTCAAGGGTCAATGTATTCTCGGTGAATTGAAAATAAAATCTGAAAATATATTTTCAGGATTGTCATCCAGGCTGTGAATGTGTCTCTCAGAGCTGAGCCTGACTGGCTTATGTAAACACGTATTTTTTTGGGGTGGTTAATGTTGTTTTGTTTGTATAAATGTTATATTATGCGAGATTAAACCCGGGCACAGTTTGTAAATCTGTAGCCTTGGGCCACATTCCATGGCGTTTCTCGCGGTATTTATGAATGAATGGATCCTGACTGATGGATGATGATGACGAGGACTCCTACCCGATCCCTGCCACTCCTTAACCTACGACCCACCCAGCCATCTACAGAGACCCTCCCACCTTCCCACACTCATACCTGCTCAGCCATACACCTGCCCATCCTGCCACCCGCTCCTCCTCCTACCCTCCCACCTGCCCTCCCACTCGCCCACTTACTGGCTTGCCCACCCTTTCACCAGTACACCTCGTGCATATGCAAGTGTGCATTTCCGGCTGATCTCCATCCCACCTGATCGCCTGCAAACCCGCTCACTCACCCACGCACACAAAGACAAACATCCCCCGTAGAGCCTGAACAGACTGTTGGGCAAGTGCTGTTAGCGAGCACCTATGACGGCCGGCACGGCACACGAGTGGGTGGGTGGCCAGCACCAAGCCCGGCCGCCTTTGTCTCCCGAGTGGTGAAATTTATACTCTGCACCAGGTACTCATTTGAGGCTGAGTCGACCTAAGGGAGGCCTATGACCGGTTCAGAGAATGGGCATTGGTGTTGGTGGCCATGAGTGGGAATTGAACTTGAATCGGCAGGTTCTTAGCACAGCGCACTAACCACTACAACACCAATCTCCACCCACCCACACCTGCACAACCACCCATACGATCACCCTCCTCCCCTCCCATCTGATCCCCCACTCATTTACACATGAAGTTGGGAAGTAATTTGTCAAATAATTAAAAATATTAAGTTTAATATTTTAAAGACAATTTTAAACTATCATGCTCAAATAAATCATGAACAACTAAATGGAAATCTTGATTTGAAATAAATGGCAATGATAGAGACGACATACTTAAAAAAAAAATGTATTACGAATGTTTTACAAGGTACGGTTTTGGTGCAGAAACCCACAGAGCCTCACCATAGCCGACGAAATCAGTCCAAGGGACAAACCATCACCGTTTGCCTGGCCACTCTGGGTTTTGTAAAAATCGCGAACCGTCAACCCCAAAACCTCGGTGTGAATGCAACGCTCCTGTCTACGCAGGTGAGAGTCGATTCGTGTCTTGGTTCGCCGCCGCCGTGTGCGCTCCTGGGACAGCGTCTCTCAGCCACAGCGAGCGGCTATCGGTGAGAAGCCACTGAGAGTCGTGGCGAGCGCAGCTCCCACTGAGAGCGTAGCGAGTGGACCTGGCTCCTATCTGGAAGTGGTCAAAGCCGACCGTGTAACGCGTCTCACGTTGCGTCTAAACAGCTGCGTGCGATACGAAGCTCGTGTCTGTGACCTTGACTACCTGAGCACATTTCCACGGAGTGTCTCGTGAGGTTTGTGACCTCGTGCTAAGTAATGTTGGCTTCCTTGTTCATCTCCGATGTTGTGAGCCCCCAGGATGTTGATGGTTAAAATATTTTAATTGGAAAGTCCTTCGATTGAACTTCTCATTAGCAAGGGTGTCCAAGGTATCATGTGACACATGCCTGTTAACTTCGACAAAACGATTTACTACGTGTAAATTTGCACGTATATTTGTGTGCATTTCGGTTTCTTCGTGTGTCTATGAGAGTGTAACTTACACCACTGAGTAGCTATGCCAGTGTGTTCATATTTACTACCCAGACCCAAGCGATGAGGTTGTCTATAACATGACACATCACACCATCTACTGTGTACAGCTCAGATACAGTACACGTGTGTGTAATATTGTTACATACCCTCACCATGTACTATAGCTGAGTTACATACAGTGCATAGTGTGATGTTTAATGTTGTTACATACCCTCACCATGTACTATAGCTGAGTTATATACAGTGCATAGTGTGCTGTATAGTGTGATGTGTTATGCTGTTACATACCCTCACCATCTGAGTTATAGACAGTACATAGTGTGCTGTAAAGTGTGATGTGTAATGTTGTTACATTCATTCACCATGTACTATAGCTGAGTTATAAACAGTGCATAGTGTTTCGATTTAAAGCTTTCGTGACTGCATGGATTCATCTTCTTGGTTCTTTCGGTAAAGTCACGTAGAAGTGAAATAATGAAATAATAAAAATAAAACATAATAAAATAATTCTCACGACGTTTCGGCCACAACGCAAGCAGCCGTCCTCATGTGAAGAACAGGTCTGTCGGAAAGACAGTGTCCGACAGACCTGTTTTTCACCTGAGGACGGCTGCTTGCGTTGTGGCCGAAACGTCGTGAGAATTATTTTATTATGTTTAATTGTTATTATTTTATTATTTCCCTTCTACGTGACTTTACCGAAAGAACCAAGAAGAAGTGCATAGTGTGCTGTATAGGGTGTTGTGTAATGTTGTTACATACCCATATCTGTCAACCCATACGGGTTTACCCGTATTGTTGTACAGGGAAATTGAGTAAAACATTTTTTCTGTCTATTTGTTTGTATTTCTCCCTTGTGATGGGATTTTGTAAGATGAACGCTGAGATTTATAAGGGACACGGGGTGACCGATCACGTCTGGATTAGTCCGTAACAAAGAAGGGCACTGATAAGGGGTTGACAGCTCTGCATACCCACACCACGTGCTAGATCTAAGCTGTAAACAGTCAACGGCGAGGTTATTGTGAGAAAATGATGAGAAGTAAACTCATTGCTTCTTTCGGTAAAGTCACGTAGATATTTTTACCGAAACAACCAAAGAGTATGGATGCCTGCAGTCACGAAAGCTTCAAATCAAGAGTGATATCGTCAAAGTAAAAAGTCACATCGGTGATAAATCGCGCGTAGTGAATTGAAAGAGACATTGATGAGGCGTCAACCATTAATGTTGTACAACAACAGCAGCAGCTGCTGCGCGTCAACGAGCTGCACCACTCGCACGCCGTTCGCCACAACGCGCTACAGACGCAGTCCATGGCGACACGGAGCCAAGGCGAATTCGTCGCTGCGCTCCGACAACAAAGAAAGCGGTGGATAAAGCAAAGCACTTTCTGGCAATCGCCCGAATGTCAACAAGACGCAGGGAACTACTAACTTTTATATTTATATATATACTGTAGATGTCCATAATGCAGGTTGATTTGGGTTCTACAGGTACATCTAGACAGGGTTGTGTGATGCGGGTCTTGTTTTTACATTCCTTAAACATCTGAGCACATTCCATGGGGGTACCTCGTGAGGTTTGTAACCCCGTGTAAAGTAATTTTACATCCTTGTTTCTTGTCTGTCTGCGAGCCCTGATACAAATACTCACCACTCACCATCTACACACGACAAACCAGCCGATACCCACACACACTACTCACCATCTCATATGCACACACACATTACTCACCACTCACCATACACACACATTACTCACCACTCACCATACACACACTACTCACCACTCACCATCCACACACACTACTCACCGCTCACCATCCACACACATTTCTCACCATCCACACACACTACTCACCACTCACCATCCACACACACTACTCACCATCCACACACACTACTCACCATCCACACACACTACTCACCATACACACACACTTCTCATCACTCAACATCCACACACAACTCACCATCCACACACACTACTCACCACTCATCATCCACACACTACTCACCATCCACACACACTACTCACCAGCCGCCATTAACCAGAGAGAACATCTCCCCCAGGAATAAACCCGTTTCGCAGATATTCTGATGAAGATAATGAGACCAAGAAAAAACTGCAAAGCGTAAACAGATCCTCGCAGAAGAAAGAGGCAATGACACAAACGAGAAAAAGGCAGCTCCAACCAACTCGCCTTCGCCTTAAATGGACTTGCTTCTCGCTACATTCATGATCTCCTTCAGCCACGAATATTCCATCAAGATCGTCAAGATCCTCAGCTCGTGCCTTGCTCACCGTCCCACCGTCTCCAGGCTACACACGTGGAGGTGCGTTGGCAATTATGGCACCTACACTCTGCAACTCGTTGCCCTTCGAGGTCAAGGGGACTTCCGAGACACTGCTCATCTTCACATCTCCACTAAAGCCGTCTCTGTGTAAAATGGCTTTCTCCCTTTAGTGATGTTCAAATGTCCTTCTCACTTCTTTCATTGGGTGATGTTCACTCATTTCCATCTTGCCATGCATAGCACCATAAGAGCGATTGTTTATGGGCTGTTTGTAAATGGAAATTATTTAATTATTATCAATTTAGGACCATTAAATTACAATTCAATTATTATTAAATAATTAATAAATTATCCTTTGTCGATTATAAAAAACATTAGTACAGTATTATTTATTTATTATTCAAGACCTTTTTTTATTACCGCTATTAAATTTGGAGCATTAAGTTATAATTTAAATCAGTATTACAACATTGTTATTTAATCATCATAATTTATCATTAAATAATAATTATTAAATTGTTATAATTAAATGATAATCATTCAATAATTATAAAATTATTACCATTAAATTATTAATACTTGACGGTCATGCCACTTGGTTCAGGGCACGGCGTCTTCAACCTGCGGCTACGGAGCGGCGTGCGGCTCTGAGGGACGGCTGCTTCGTGAGACGTTTTTATTTATCAAAGATCACCACCAGCACCGTCTCTCGTACTCACACCACGTTGCATTGCGGCTCTTGAAATAATTAGTTGTTTGGTTTTTATTTTACTTACGGGTTTGTAAAAAACAAAGAAAAAATGTCTCTCCTTGTTATTTTGCTTTCTGAACCCCCTGGTTTAACGGAATCGTTTTTTTAAACCTTGAATACGAACTTACAGCTGTGTGGTTTACTGGGCAAAAAGCACAGCCTCAGCCGAGCCGGAATGTTTTGTTTACGTGACAAACCTTTCTCATTGATTGTGTCGG